GTGTGTGGAAGAGAGAGAGAGAGAGAGAGAGAGAGAGAGAGAGAGAGAGAGAGAGAGAGAGAGAGAGAGCAGTTCCATGTTCTCATGTCGAATGAGATCCAGATGGAAGATCCTCATCCCGTTTATTCCGTTCTGCGTTGTGTTCCTCCTGCCCCTTGGGAGTGCCCATGCTTTTCTCGTACTCGTTTATCTTTCTTATCTTTATCCCTATCCCCTTGTTCGTCTCCTTATCCCCTTCTTATCCTTCCACTTTCTCTATGTCGTCTTGCGCTTCCAGTAGCGGATTGTTTCTCCTCTGATTCTGCGGGACGATAAGGTCAAAGGATGAGGATAGCTTTATACATTTTGTCGCTTACCATCTTCACCCCCCGAATAAAACGCCCGGTCACTATCGCTGCATCTGGTCTGAAATTTGCCCCAAATACATCTATAATGACAGGGCGTTCTACTCGGTTGACGACGGTAGTGCTACATTATGTGCTTGCGACTCTTGCGCGATGGTCGCCCATCACACGGCTCTCTTCCCTCCCACCTTTTCCCCTCTTTTCCCCCCATCCTTCCTTTCTCTTGTTTAAGGGACCTCCTCATGCGCGCCTTAGCCCTCCTTATGCGCGCCTTAGCCCTCCTTATGTGCGCCTTGGCCCCCTTATGTGCGCCTTGGCCCTCCTTCCCACCTTGACCCTCCTTCCCGCCTTGGCCATTCTTCCCGCCTTTTTGCTCTACATCATTGGCCTCCCCCTTCTTCCCATCATTCTGAATGTATCTGGACTGGGCAATGGTTCCGATACATTCCCAAAAATGGCCATCATTCTGAATGTATCTGGACTGGGCAATGGTTCCGATACATTCCCCCAAATGCTGGATCACTCCGAAGTTCTCTCGTTCATGCTACTGTTCAGATACATCTAGAATATTGAACGATGGAGCGAGACCCTGGGCCACGCGCCACTTACCCCATGCGTAAAAGACGAAAAATAAAATATGGCAGTGTATCTACCCGTGTTCTTGCCGAATATTCATTCTCGTTTTGCACATTTCGTTACTATGTATGTCCTCCGATGATTCGCTTTGTTCAAAGCTTTAAACTCCTTGCGGCAGCGCAGGAATGATTTTTTTTTCGCTGATTATCCCCAGAAAAGGAGGAAAATGATTTTCGCCGATGATTGTTGGCCGGGAGACATCACAGCCGTTCAAATTGGATTAAAAAAAAAAAAAAAGGTATAAAGAGCAGATCAATCATTTTTTTTTTCCTCCTTTTTTTTTTGGATAATCAGTGAAAAAATTTTTGGTCGGTGATTGATGGCCCCTGGGAGAGAGAGTGCATGGCCGATTAATGGGAGAGAGAGTTGGGAAAAAAAAAAAAAAAAGTTTCTCAAAGGTTTTAACTCAAGTATCCCGGTGGAGGTACTCAGGGTCTCGCTTCGGTAAATATGAAAAAGACAAAAAAAAAGCCTTCTTTATTGAAAAACCCTGAATTGGAACGATACAGAGAAGATTAGCATGGCCCCTGCGCAGGAAAAAAAAAGAAAAAAAGGAAAAGAAAAAAGAAAAAGGAAAAAAAAAGAAAAAAGGGGAAAAAAAGAAAAAAGGAAAAAAAAAGAAGTTTTTCCTTTTTGTTCCTGCTGCTGAAGCGATCTACCGTCTTCACCCGAATAGAACGCCTGGTCATTATAGATGTATTTGGGACCCCTATCAGTCGAGATACAGCCAGCGATGGAGACGGGGCGCTCTATGCGGGTAAAGACGACGGCTAGCTCTCTTCTGATCCAGGCGGGCTGCTGAAGTTCCTTCGCTCTTTTTTTTTTTTTTTTTCCTATTTTTTAAACCTTCGCTTATATCCTTGGGAAGGAGGAGGGGAAGAGATGGGCGGAGAAGGTGGGCAGAGGGGGTTTTGCGCTTGGCTGCGGTTTTTTTTTTTTTTTTTTCAAAGAAATTCCAGTTCGTGCTTGGCTGCGGGTTTTCTGCCTGCCAGCAAGTTGTTTAATTAATTATCTTATTTCGTTTTTTTTTTTTTTTTTTTCCTTATTATATTGAATAGTACCTCGGTTGGTAGTACACCCGCCATCTTTTGAAATACAGACCTCAGTTCCAATCCGCTGATGAACAGAATTCTGAATTACCTGGGACCGGTCCGTTATCGATGATTACGTAAGATCTCAACAAGGACGTCAGCTCTTTTCATTTGACAGAAAAAAAAAATAAAAAAAATCGAAGGCTTGGCGCGCGCAGCCGTTTCGATCTGGTTTGCAGGGATATGTGAGAAAATCCAGCGCTCCCTTGAGAGAAAATACGTTTTTTTTTTTTTTTTAACCAGATATGAAACTGATCAGAACAGAATCTACCTACACTTGATCTTAGCCAAAAGGCCGAGAAAGATATTGAAAATACGTCTTTTTTCCCTTCTTTCGGAGAGATCTCTCGATTACTATGGTCTACATTAAAAAAATATTAAAAATAAATATCCGCTCATTAACTCGTACAAAACGTTTATCCTCTACAATTTTCTCGAAAATTATTACTTATTTTGCTGAAAATCTATCTAATGATTCTACTCCTCTCATAATTATTGTTCCAAGAAGAACAATCACGAAGCAACAAGAAGAAGAAGGAGAAGAAGAAGAACAACAACAACAGGAACAATCACGAAGCAAGAAGAAGAACAATCACGACGCAAGAAGAAGAAGAAGAAGAAGAACAATCACGACGCAAGAAGAAGAAGAAGAAGAAGATGATGGGGCAGTTCTTGCGTTGATATTGTCACGTCGATGGAGTGATCATCGATCGACAACCGTCTTCATTCACGAACAGAATGCCCGGTCATTATAGAAGCTGTATTCGGTGCAACTTTAAGTCTAGATACAGCAAGAATGACCGTTCGTTGTATTTGTATTCCGGTGAACAAGGTAATCACGCACTCACAGCTGTCATCCTAATCACCCCCTCGCGAGCATGGATGGGTCTGTGCCAATCAATGGAGAGAGATGCGACGAGTAATGGTCAAATGGCCGGGTCAAAGGGTCAGCGACATGGATGGGATGATCTATAAGCCCTCGTCGTGCCGGACTCTGATGCCTCAAATCTCCACCGCCGACTGGAAGGAAAAGCGACCAATCAATAGCCCGTTATCAACGCCTGCTCTCTCTCTCCGTCCGTCTGTGCTCGTGCTTGCCCCTTCTCGTGCGTGACAAATAGGTAGCTGGAGAGGGCAAGCGAGCGTGTGTGTGTGTGTGTGTGTGTGTGTGTGTGTGTGTGTGTGTGTGAGAGAGAGAGAGAGAGAGAGAGAGAGAGAGAGAATGGATCGCGCAATTTTAATGTGAGGAGCCTTGGTATGAACATTGTGTGTGTGTGTGAGAGAGAGAGAGAGAGAGAGAGAGAGGGAGAGAGAGAGAGAATGGATCGCGCAATTTTAATGTGAGGAG